GCCCCGATGAGGTCTGCCTTGAGGGAGCCAAGGCTCCCGATGGTCACGTCGGCGTCCATGACAGATATCCTGCGGACAGCAACAAAAGAGGGGAGGCGGGGAGGGATGTGGACATCGGGAGGCGGGTGCAGCTGACGATGCGAAAATCGACAACATCAGCAGTGCTTGTCTCGATACCTCAAAACTGCACACAACGAGGAACATGTCACGATAAACACGTTCCCACGTCTGGCTTACAACAACAACGACAGCACGAGAACAGCTGCAGCAACAAGACGATAACAGCAACAATAGCAACAACAACAACAACGATAACAACAACAACGATAACAACAACAATGACAACAAAAAGACGAAGACGATAACAGCAACAAATAACAGCAACAACCACCACCACAACAGCAACAACAACAACAACAGCAACAACAGCAACAAGAGATACCTACCGGAACACACCCTCCTTAAAGTCGTCCTGGTCCAAGTTTCTCAGGTTGATGACGAACGTCTCGTCAAAGACGGCGTTGAGGCGGTCCTTCACCACCTCCGTCGCAAACTTCTGGCCGAACGCCTCCACGTACACCACGGGGTCAGACGTGCCCTGTTGTACACACAAACGGCGAAAGAAACAAAAAAAACAAGGATGACCAAGGAGAACAAAAACTTTCCAGTCAACAATCATCAACTCGTGTCAAGAAAGTGTGCGACGTCGGCGACCGTCACGTGTACAGGCGGTCAGACTCGAGACCCGCAGCCGGTCTCTACATACCTGCCTTGCCTTGTGAATGACTGGATATCTCATTCGATCCCGACAAAACGACACCCTCGCCCCCTCGGCTGTTCCTTTGCCGCTCCAACACCCCCCTGCCGAACACAACACTACTGCTGAGAGGAAGGGATTCCAACACCAGGCTAGGTTCACAGAGTAGAGGTCCCTGTCTAGTGCCGGTACGTGCCCGGAAAATTAAGCGGCACGACACCGGACAGGCACTATTCAAAGTATTGAGAAATAACTTGGAAAACTCAGTGTGTGCGAGCCGAAAACACCAGCACTACTATACCGGGCACCGGCACTACTATACCGGGCACCGGCACTACTATACCGGCACTAAACAGGGACCTGTACTGTAGTCGATCGCGGTGTGATTGCTGTGTCGTGCAACTACGAATAACTCTCGTCATCATCTCACCTGGAGATCCTCGCCCTTGAGCTCCCGGACCTCTATGATGTGCACGTACGCCACGTAGTCGCCGCTAATCACCTGGCAACAAGTGACGGGACGGCGACAGCAAAAAAAAAAAGAAAGAGAGAGACCCAAGAGACGGGATGGGTAAGGCAGCGGCCACTCACAAGGAAACGGCAAGCGGGTAGGCTGAAAAAAACAAAAAAATAAAATGAAAGAAAGTCACGCGTGCAAGCACACAAAACATCAAACAGCAGCAGCAGCAGCAGCAGCAAGCTTACCTTGAAGTCACTTAGCTTGGCGAGCAGGGCATCCTTCTCCTCGTCCTGCTTCTTCTTTTCCTCCGGATCGGCCTCCTTCGCCGCTATCTGCGCGTTCGGGTCTTCCTGTTGGTCTGGCTCATCCTCCTGCCCAAGCACATCGCACAAAAAACAAAAAAATAGCGACGGTTCCACGGCGAAACGAAACATTGGGGCCACGAATGGTGTACCAAAATGTACTTAACACGCAATCAACAATCAGTGCCACTTCTTACATCTTACTTCTTGTTTCTGTGTTCTGCAGCGGATTTTACAACGATCGCCGTTACATTTACCTGCAGGGTTCGATCTGTTCAGAATAGAATATTTTGACCGCTTTCGGTCGTCTCCGTTTTTCTGGAGAAGGAGAGGCTAAACTGGCTTCATGCCGCATGACGATGGCTTGTATTTAGCTCGGACTCTTGCCGCTTAGAAAGAGGCGGATCTAAATTTACGTGCAGGTACGCGACCGTACACCGATGGTACGTGTGTGCAAATGATGTAATAAACCGCTTTTTATATCCATGTTGCTGTACTCTATGGAGAAAGACACAAAAGCAAGGCAACAAGAGAAGGAAAGCAAGACCTCACCTCCTCCCCCCTCCAAAAATAAAACAAAAAATAAAGATGAAACGCTTGGCGCTCGCTCACCTCGGTGTCGGATTCGGCGTCATGCAGCCAATTGACGACGCTAAACTCCGCCTTTTTCTTGGTGGCCTCATCCTTCGCGGCAAACTTGGGGTTGAAGAACCACTGGGTGGTGATCTCGATGGCCCCTCTTTCCTCGCCGGCGGGCAGCTCTCCCGTCCTCAGCTTGAGGTCGTACCTGTTGCATTGTTGCGGGCGGGCGCGTTTCGTGGTCAAGATATCAAGAATGGTGTTGTCAGGCATGGTTTCGTTTCAGCACCACCACCGTGAAACAGAACAAGAAAAAAACACAAACTACGTTCTTATGCATCCGCCGCAGATTGAGAAAGTGCAAGAGAGAGTGCAGGAGAGAGAGAGAGAGAGAGAGAGAGAGAGAGAGAGAGAGAGAGAGAGAGAGAGAGCGTCGTTGCCGATCGAGCGCGAGGCAAAACGAAATAAGGCAAAAAAGGTCCACTCCACGTGCGCCTTTCAGCACAAAGTGCCCGCCCGGGCCGGCCGCGAGATACATGTCGTCGTCGTGGCGTCTCGTCGTGTCACGGCGGTGGTGCCCATCAACTTGCTCTTGCTCAATGTGCAAATATATCTTTTAAGGCTTCAGGTTATGCTGCTACACGCAGCACTTCTTGCGGTTGCTGTCTGCTGACAAGCCGCCCGTCTGTGCGGGCCGAGCGCATCATGGACACGCCACCAGGAGATACATCAACGACGACAACCTCCGAAAAAATCGTCAAAAAAAAAACAAAAAAAAACTTTCTCTTTGTCAAGTGAGAGACCCTTCAAGTGGTGATTCAACCGTTCCACACGAACTCTTGAAGTCGTTGTGGGCAGTATTTGCCCCAACTTTTCTCTTAAGCGGTGCTTGGCCCCGTTCCTCTGAAATCATTCCAACCATGTATGATAGCAATGTATGCATATCACGGGCGTCGACTACGCCACCGCCACCGCCGACGGTACATGTTCCATACTCGTCCCCACCCGCGACCTGAGGAGTTGCCCTCTGTTTACGGCACGGCACCTTGTTCTTCTGTTCCAGCATGATACCAAGAACCAGGATTCAGGACTAAGGATAGCCAAGGGCCGGGCTGCGAAAACGGCCTGTCCTGGTACCACCGGTAATGCTGTGCACGGCTGTGGGCCGTTTCTCTGGGGGGGCGCGATCGTCCAACGCCGGTTTATTCCCACCAACTTCAAGTAAAATAACTCAGTTCTCAACATGATTCCATGTTTACCGTCTAGGAGTATCTCTACACATGTTCTCCCTCAAACCGAATATTATGGCAAAACCAAATCCCACCACTGTAGACAGTAGTAAACGACAAAAACGCACAGGCAGCATGTATTCGTCTTTGTCTGGGAGATCTGTCGTTTCTCCCTCCGGTTGGGCTCTTCCCGATCGTTGTTGCCGAGTTCCACTCTCCAATACGGATCGTACAAGTCGCAGACTCGCCCTCGGATGAGAACGATGTTGCCCTCTTGATCACTGAGCTCTCTTCCCACTTCGGTCCCGCTCCCTCACGGTGTCTTGGGTGAGCCAAGAAAAAAGTATTGCCATCCTGATACTCTCCTTGATACTCTCTCGCCCACGCCGATGATGGTCCTCCTGTGCCTTGAGCCACCCGTCCGTTCACGAACGTGTAAACATCGCCATGTATCGAGGAAGTGGTCTTGCAAGACGAGACTTGTCTCGCGGAGGCCGTTGGCGAGTCCACCACACTGGCGGGGACACTCGAGGAAGTGGTCGTGCAAGACGAGACTTGTCTCGCGGAGGCCGTTGGCGAGTCCACCACACTGGCGGGGACACTCGAGGAAGTGGTCGTGCAAGACGAGACTTGTCTCGCGGAGGCCGTTGGCGAGTCCACCGCACTGGTGGGGAAATGCATGGCGATGTGGCAAACGGGACACTGGAGAGCCACTGGTTTTGGGGGGGGGCGTCACAGAAGTGACAGGCCAACAAGAACCGACACCGTGAATTCCCGTTTACACGTTCGTGAACGGACGGGTGGCTCAAGGCACAGGAGGACCATCATCGGCGTGGGCGAGAGAGTATCAAGGAGAGTATCAGGATGGCAATACTTTTTTCTTGGCTCACCCAAGACACCGTGAGGGAGCGGGACCGAAGTGGGAAGAGAGCTCAGTGATCAAGAGGGCAACATCGTTCTCATCCGAGGGCGAGTCTGCGACTTGTACTATCCGTATTGGAGAGTGGAACTCGGCAACAACGATCGGGAAGAGCTCAACCGGAGGGAGTTACGACAAGGCATCGCCCTGGTGACATGACCTCCACCATCTACTGCTCAAAGGGTCCTCCGACGAGCACTGCCGACAGCGCTCGCTTTCGTGCGGCGAGCTGGGGGGGGGGTGTCTCGGCAGTGATATTGAGGAGTGGCACATGGTATGTTCACGATCGCCTTCTGATTTTATCTACTCTTGATGCCAGATCGATCACCACCACATCCTCCAAGCCGACTTGAAACATCGATCCTGCTCTGTAAATGTCATATTCACATTATTGTTTTTATCTCTCACCATTGCCTCATCTTCCGCTTGTCTTCCAGGTCCCCCATCAAAATGCTCACGAAGCCCATGAAGTCGTTCACGAATCGGTCCTCATCCTCAACGGTGATCTCCAACGACTCTCTGTGAAAGGGATGCACAAAAATATACGAAACGAATTGTAACGGCGATGCCATTAAACAATACAGCAGTGCGTACGAAGCTGCTCTACGGCACCCATGGCCGAAAAAAAAACGTCGTGGTATGTTCACGATAATCGACTCGGTAATTTACATCGCCTGCAAGACGATGAAGCTCGGAGAGGGCTGTAACTCTTGCGAAACTGCTCAACCCTTATGCCCGGCAAAACTTTCTCCACTACAGCCCTAACCGTACCCCCCCCCCCAAAAAAATATATATATATATATTAGTCTCACCCGGAGTTCCTGCACTCGAACTCGAACACCTCTTCCCATTGTGGGTTCAGATTCTTCTGTATGACCCGCGATCGTTGCTCCTTGCCGCCGAGCTTAAATATGACGAGCGGATCAGAGCTGGTCCCCATATCCAACGCCAAAAGGTCTTGACCCTTTTGGCCGAAAAGAGGAAAGCGCGGACAGGCCAAACAAGAGCGCAACAACAGGGAGAGCGCGCGGTTTCGGTTGTATCGAACGTCAACGAGAGCAGGGACTGACCGCTGAACTTCCCGCGTTTTAAATCGAAAAAAAAAAAAGTAGTGCAGGGGAAAGGTGGGAAGAAACGGTCGGTCGGTCGTGCTTCCCTCTAGGAAACCCTTGTGTAGGGGAGAGGTGCAGCAGACAGATGAACGGACGGACGGCTGGGACACCCAGGGAGGCGTACGCGGCACACCGCGGTAAGGGTGCCTCTCCCCCCCAAAAGTCGTGCAAATCGCCGTGACGCCAAAGTGCACTAATCTACAACGGCACCGACCGTCAGTAGTGATTACATCCACATCCCAGAGTGTCACCCCCCCCCACGCCATGAAACTCCAGCCGTTCAGCCGCGGCGCAACACTAAGTTTGGCCACTCTCCGCATGTGCCCTTAAGCCTCAAAGTAGGAGTGCCCGCCCCCCCCCGCCCCCGTGCGCCCTCTGCTCCCTGATCTATTCTATCCCTAGCACAGCCGTGTTACCTTCCCAACTGCGCGGGGGGGGGGGACCCCGCAGGTGCTTCACGCAACAGCGACACACCGTCCGTTTTGGACGGGGTACGTGCGAATTTCGCAACCGATTTCATCTCCAGGGCGCTGGAAACATGCACCGTGCGGGTCAAATGCGAGACACAACCCATGACACAACGCCAACAATAACGTCAGGTTTTAGAACCGTACTCGGTTTGTCGAGAAACAAAATACGGGAGGGAATGGGGGACGACGAAGCCAAACACGGCTGGCTCCTTGATTAGAACCGGGTGGGGTGGGGCGGGGGGGCTGAGCCGCTCAAGCGCAGTCGATACACACAGCATACCTGGTGCAGCGTAATCTTCAAGAAGTTCGGCGGCTGATCCAGGTATCCGGGCTCCTCGTCCCCCCGGTCGTTGAGGCCCCGGTTCAGGTCCAAGAACATCTTCGAGGACCCGTCGCGCTTGTCGATGACGGCGCCGATCTTGAGCCGGAGGTGGACGCTGCCCAGCCTGCCCCCGGCTCTGAGCCTCCCGAAGGGCTCCAGCGAGTAGAACTGCTCCCACTCCTCCCCGTCCACGCTGAGGTTTACCAGGGGGACGTCCACCGTGCCCAGGGGCTTCTCGGCCGCGAATCGCTGCTCGCTGAACACCTGCGTGTGCCGGGGGGGGGTGTCGTGTATGGATGCCGGTTTGGTTGGTCTGAGGTTGACTTTCGTGCGAAATCCTGCTGCTCATCGACCTAAGCCTCGTTGGCTACAAATGTATCTACAGCGAATGGAACAGGCCTGTAGTGATCATCGGGGCAAAAAAAAAACATACATTTTTTCGCTGATTCAGCGGGACACCCCCAACGCGGCGGCCGAGAATACTGTACACATATACAAAGCATGCTCGCCCCGCGCACGAAGAAAACAAAGAGGTTCGCAAAAGGTGCGAGGTGTCTATGTTACTGGTGTTAAACCACAGCAGCGAGAAAGTATTGCCCTTCAAACACCCTTGGCTCCGCCAATTATTGCCATCGGCCGTTGTCCTGGCACAGAGCGCGGGCAGGCATGAAGCCCGAGAGCGTGCGTGGAACAAACCCATTACCCTGCCCCTTCAACCAGAGAAAAGCTAGCTGCCTACAGCAGTAGTAGCCGTAGCTGAAAGCAAACTGACAAGAGTTATAGATGATGTCAGCGTTGGGGTTCCTGCTTTCCCCCCTCCCCCGGACCCATGTGAAGCCCACCCCTCTTCCTGTTCCCCAGCGAGAGAGATTGCCGGCCAAAACTCGAGTTCAAAGGCCGCACACCGGTTGAAACCACAACAAGCAGGTTGGGTGCCCGAAAGCGTGCGCCCAGGAAATCTGAAGGTGTGCTTACATTCATTTGGCCATTTACTACGGAAATGCATCCTGCAACTGTGAGGATGGGGGTAACCAGAGGTAAATAATATCAGACCCAGAATAATGGAGCCGTGTACATCTCGTTGCGAAAAAGTGAGGCCATGACAGGGTGAAGGATTCTGAGCAGAGCCAAAGAGGAACACGGGACAAACACCGGAACTCTTAAGGGCTGCACAATTGGGACGTATTTTTTGCAGTGGTTGAGGTCACCCAGCCGCGACTGCTCGCGTCGTACGAACAAAACCAAGGCCAAGAAAAACAAAATCGACCACCACTACACCAACCGCCCGCCCTGAACCCACACGCGCACCTGAACACGCAGCGTTGGCATGTTTCCCCCCACGGGAGCGCTGAGGTTCGCCCGGTAACCGAAGGAAGTCTTGAAGTTCCACACCGGGTTCGTGGTGCCCTTGATGACGGGCGTGTGCCTGACCCCCTCCGACTTGACGGCCCTCCCGGCGAGGTCCACGAGGAGGATGTTCGCCCTCGGGTTGGAAACGCCTCCTTTCTCGGTCCCGAGCAGCCCCGCCGCCTCCACGACCTCCACGTCGAGCATCCGTCGGGCCAGAGAGACGGCCGGCGCCGTCGGGTCAGCGGCGGGGGCGGAGGCAGCGGGCCTCGGCTTCCGGCCGGCCGATTCGTTCCCGTCGCCGGCGGCGGCGGGAGCGGTCCCGGCCGCCGCCGCCGCCGCCGCCGCCGCCGCCGATGCCTTTTCTGGCTCCGGTGCCTTCTTCTTTGGCTTGCCCCGCCTCGCCGGCGTGCCCTTTGCCGGCTGGGCCCTCGGGCTTCCCCTCGGCGCTCTCTTCTTCGCGGGCGGCGTTGCGGCAGCTACCGTGCGCCCCCCGGCCCCCGCCTCGTCCCCCCCTCGTGACGGTCTCTGCGGCGTGGACAGCGACACGGCCGGAGCGGCGGCTTTGGCGC